TCGGGGCACTGAGCAAGGATGGTAGCCTCTGGTCTTCTCATCTTCTCAGCTTGCTCTTCCATCTGGGCATGGAACCTCAGCCCTATATGTAAGCTGGGATGAGGGTGATGAGGACCTCACTATTCTCATCCTGCTACAACTGGGATAGAGCCTCTACTTTATGAATGGGGGCTGGATGGACAAAGGGAGCCCATGACCTCTTAGCCACACTCACCAGGAATTTACCCTTTGCAACTTGGAGTTAGAGGGAATTAGAAATGCTGCTGTTCTGCCCCTTTGGATGAGATACCGTATCCATTGGATGCCAGCTGAGGAGAGAGGGAACCCCATTCTCTTGGGAACACCCACCCAGAATGGAGCTTCTTTCAAGCTAAGCAGGGAGTGAGGGGAGGGAGGAGAGAAGTTATGGCTCAAGTGCCACAGACCCTCTCTGTTCTTACCACGTTTTAGTAGATTTTCTTGAATAAATATTTTTCATCCTCGGTATGTTCTTAAGACAATTTCCAGAGACTTTAAATTGTTGTTTTGTTTTGTTTTTTTATACAGTTTTCACCAGTTACATTTGTTTTACTGGGGATAGGGCCCATGGAGCTCCTCATGTTGCCATTCTAGAAGTATAACCTCCAGAATAATTTTTTAAAAAGATTGCTCCAGAGCCAGCCCTGTGACCTAGAGGTTAAGTTCAGCACATTCTGCTTCAGTGGCCTGGGTTCAGTTCCCAGGCACAGACGTACACCACTCATCAGCCATGCTGTAGTCGTGACCCACATACAAAATAGAGGAAGACTGGCATAGATGTTAGCTCAGGAAAAAAAAGAGAAAGATTGCACCAAAGAAAATTCCTGGTTTCATCACATACTCTGAGCTTCAGTTACCTTGTCTGAAAAGGAGCTAATAATCCACACCATACTCTCTAGGACATAGTGGCCCCGAATAACTGTTAATTTCTTCTTTCCCTCCACTTATCTCACATTTGGGGCTTAGAGAAGTTCCAGTTGAATAAAAGTGCCTGCCCAGTAATGTGTTATTTTACTTTAAGAATTTTAAGACTCCAAGAAAGTATTTCAAGTAAAGTGAGAAATATACTTAAACACTATAAAAAAATGATCTTCAGACCCATACCAGGTTTCTTTTAGAGTTTTGGCTCATGAGAAAATACTTTAACAAAACCACAAACCACATGACTCAAAGTCTCTTTCTTCTTCCTCACTCTTACAACCTCGCTCTATCCTCGTCTCTCCCAACTCACTTCCCTCTTGCGTTATAACCTTTCACCAATGTATAAGAATTACTGAGTAGAAATTGAATGAATAGTTAAAAGGATAAAATTCAATCTGTCTATATAAAGATTTGTCAAGTGATTAGTAACTAGTATTTTCTCTGAGCTATGTTTTTGTACAGCAGTCTGGACCTTGAAATAATTCTCTCTCTCTCTCTCTCTGTTTATTTATTAAGAAATGAAAATCCCATGAAAGCCATTTTCAATGTAATTCATTCATTCATTTAACAAAGATGATTTGATAATGCCTAGGATATGTGTGGCACTCTTCTAGGTACTTGGTCCCTGATATGTGTCTTAGGAGATAAGATGGGATTTGAGGAGTTGGCCAACCAGCATGTCTTACCAAGCCAAAATATTATTATTGTGTTTGCTCAATCTTTGTGTAGCTTATCCAGCTACTCACATCTTAAAATGATCAGGGGGAACAATGTGGTTGTGACCCTAAGAGAGGTTGCAATTGAAACTTACACTTAACTCGATTTTGTACCAGCTTTGGAGCTAGCCAAGGACAGATAACATCTTGTGTTCAACTTCTCAAATAAGAAATATTGAGTAACTACAATGCCTTAAAATTGATTCCTAAACTGCTAAAAACTTTTTGACCTTCTTAAAATATCTGGAACCGATCAAGAATAAATTATAATCAAGTAAAAAAGAGGATGAAGATGATAAACAAAAATCCAGACCTGAAAGTTCTATTTTAAAACTCAGCTATCTTCTTTTAAATAAAGCATTCAGAGATTTGGATAGAGTTTAAAAACACAAATTTTAAAATCTGAAACTAGGGGATTTTATGTAGTTTGGATTATGAAATGTAAATTACATTATAGCCATGTGTTGCCTAACGATGGGGATACATTCTGAGAAATGCAGTTAGGCGATTTCATCATTGTGTAAACATCATAGAGTGTACTTACATAAACCTAAGTGGTATAGCCTACTACACACCTAGGCTATATGGTACTAATCTGGTCACCACCAACATACAGGCAGTCCATCGTTGACCAAAATGTTCTGTGGCATATGACTGCATTTGGTTTAGCAGGTGCGTACTGAATCTTTATTATGTGCAATATTAGCAAGACATATTCCTACATTCAAGAAATAAATCTTGTACACAAATAACTATAATGTTAGACAGAAAATATTTGTTATAAAAGTCTAAAAATGTCACTTAAGACATATAAGGGAGAGATATATTCCAGTTAGGGGAGATTAGGAAAGGTTTCATAAAGAAAATGTCATCTGATCGAAATCTAGCAAAATGCAGAAATGTGAGGACATAGTAAAACCAACCCAGGTACCTTACGGGCTGCCTTTAGAGACCAGCTGACTGGAGCACTAGGGAAAGGGGAATAAGGTTAGATGACTTGTAGTAGATCATGAAGACCCCAAGATGTCGTCAAAGGAGGTGGGAGTTTATTTTGAAGCCAATTGAAATCCGTGGAAGGGTTTTGAAAAAGGGAGTAATAATCGACACTGTGTCTTAGAGAGATTGTTCTGAAACCCACGGATAAAATAGATTTAAAAGGTATCAGAGGTAGGAAGTCCAACACAGAGGCCATTGTTGCATCAGGCCGGTTGGGCCTGAATGAAGAGAGCAGAATCAAAGTAGATGGCAGTTCCATAAACATGAAGCAGGAGTAGAATCAGGGGAATGGATGCCAGATACACCCTGACGAGAACTGACTGGAACTTGGGAACTGCTGTCCGCAGTGAAAGAGGGAGTAAGACATTTGGAAGTTTAGTGTCTGTGTGCCAGGGAGGTTGACAATGTTCTTAAAAAGAGAAAGGAAACAGAGAAGGATAAGGTTTGGGAAAAGAAGAACGATGATGCTTCACTTAATAATTATTTATTTAACACTTATTATGCACCAGGCACTGTTCTGGGGGATGAGCGTTAGCTTTAATTTTTTTTTTGGAGGAAGATTAGCCCTGAGCTAACTGCTGCCAATCCTCCTCTTTTTGCTGAGGAAGACTGGCCGTGAGCTAACATCTGTGCCCATCTTCCTCTACTTTATACATGGGACACCTACTACAGCACGGCTTGCCAAGCAGTGCTATGTCCGCACCCGGGATCCGAACCAGCAAACCCCTGACCACCCAAGCGGAACGTGTGAACTTAACCCACTGGGCCAGCCCCTAATTTTTAAAACACTTTATGTGACAAGGACACAAGTCCCAGTGTGTGCGACTCCAGAGGGAGAACTGGAGCCAGTTGGAAGGAGTCAGGAAGTAAAATAGCTTTCTAATTAATGGAGACTTCTTGATAAGTAGTAAGAGCTCTGTTACAGGCAGTATTCAAGCATAAGTTGGATGATTCTCTTCCAGGAACGCCGTGACAAGAGAGTCCTGCAGTAAGAGGAATATTAGACTAACCTTTCCGCAAGTTGTCTCCCAATCTCGAGGAAGAGTCTTTTCTTCCTGATGATCTCGTCCTATGGGTTCTTTTATTAATCTCTGGTTTCTCTCAATTATTAAATAAAATACTCAATCTGTCTGCCATTCAGTAAAATTCACACATTTACATCTGTTATTCTTGAATTATTTTTGGTTAGAGCTCTTCATCTTTATTAAAAAATTCTACCCAGTAATGTTACCGTTATAGCTAATTTAGAATGGTAACCCTGGTAGATTGGGTTATAAATATCAGAAGGGAAGAGGATTTCTTGTGCCTAATAATATTTTTGTTTGGAAGAAGCCCTGCAAATGAGAAATGAATGATCTTGACTTCAAAATTGCCATGCAGTTTCTGTATTTTGCAGTAATTCAAAAAAGGAAACAAATATCTCAAAGAGGTTCATTTTGATAGAGCATGGTAAAGAAACAGAATAATAATTCTCCAAACACTGCTAAGCTTTAGATCAGGAGCATTTATCTGTGCTGCATTAAAAAAGAAGAAGAAAGGAGAGGAAGAAAGAAAAGGAAAAAGGAAACCTGTAGTGAGCTCCGCTATGAGCTATAGTTAAAGCTTTGCATTTCCTGGTGTCTTTTGAAACGTAAAATTCCACAACAAATAGCTCTGTAACGTATAACCAGTATGAAGATTCAATTCAGATTTAAGCACTTTGGTTTGCTTTTGAATCTTTCTATTTTCTGCATTTGTTTTGACTGCTCTCATCATTCAAGATTGACGCTTGGATGGGTGTGTAGGAGGAAGCAGCAGCAGCAGGCTTACAGCTTGCAGACAAAAAAAATCTGCCTTATCTGATGGCTATTATTGAAAATGCGAGGTGTAGCCTGGGCTGGGTAATGAAGGGGAGCGAGCGAGGGGGAGCAAGGAGCGTGGAGCTGCATACTGATGAGTGGAGGAGTACTTGATAAAAAGAATTCTGGCTGCCGGCCGTGCATTGCTCATTGTGGAGTACTCCAACAATCACACAGAACGCAGACCAGCCTAAGCTGACAGCTTGATATGCCTTCTTCTGCTGCCTGGTTTTGGGGACTGTATGACGTACTGGTCGGTAGTAAAGATTAATATGTAAGAAATGTGGAGCTAGGATCAAGTCATACTCCACAGCCTGCCTGGCAAACTATGTTTTACTTCTGACTTTGCTCTCTCGCTGAGAACGTTAATCTGTCAAGCTGGCGGGCTCCTTTGATAGCAACTTTCCCAGGAGCATGATGTGGCAATGCCACCTCTCAGCCCAGGACTACCGCTATTACCCCGTGGACGGCTACTCCCTGCTTAAACGCTTCCCTCTTCATCCTCTTACAGGACCCAGATGCCCTGTCCAAACAGTGGGACAATGGTTGGAAAGCATTGGGCTACCTCAGTACGAGAACCACCTGATGGCTAATGGATTTGACAATGTGCAGTTTATGGTAAGACGCTCTCTCTGTCCATGGAGCTGCCTTTTGTCTGTCTTTGCTTCTTATGTGTCTTACATGGCTCAGAAGCAGCCTGATTTGCACCGAAACCCGTCAGTTTTATATATGTGACTGCATCAGAAAATCGGATGCCCTTAGGACTGAACTTACTGTGTACATATAGACACTTACTGAAAGATGAGATCTGTAGGCATCCATATACATATGTAGTATATGAATGAACCTGTGAGAGTACTATTTATAGGCAGTGACAGAAGATTAACATTTATATTCTCCCTGTCATTCTTTGTGTGATGTTTATAAATTTTTAATCTCAGAATACCCAGTTAGATTCTAGCATTCTTCAGTTAATTCTAGATTCCTAAAAAATTGTTATTTCATTTGAACATTAGCATTTAGTGATTGATTAGACAATTTGTTTTGTATACGGTGTGAAGATCATTGTTTTTTCCTGGTAATTGTTTGATAAGCTGTTTAAATTTTGTGGATGACCTTTAGTTCATTAGTAAATTGCTTCAGATGGTCAATTATTGAGAGCATTCCCTTACTTACACATGCTGATTGAAGAGTACTGAAGTATTGCTTATTACTTTAGGTAGAAAACAAGCACTTAATCAATTAATTGTCAATATTTAGAAAGAGAGGCTGATGGACAAAGTGCATTCATGTACTTCTGAATACTGGTCTGCATGCAGTCTAAACCTGGCGTGTGCAAACTTCTCACTGTGATGAATATAGGTGAGCAAGGAGGATGGGGAGACATGCAGACCCATAATACAGCTTTCTAATCATTTACATACCTCCCCCAGTGCTCATCAGTTTCCCTTGTTAAGCTACGTCACAATCCTTATTAGCTTTCCTTGCTTTTAAGGTCCCATCACACATATTACTGATCCCTAAATTTAGAGAGAGCTGCATAACATAAGCATGTAGCACGCAAATGACTTGTAGAAATAATTAATAACTATTTCTAAATAAAATGCTGTGGCTAACACCTGAAGTTTATTAATATCAGAATTGATAAGAAAATACTGAGGACTAGTCATTTCCATTTGAGAATATTTTTCTCGAACCTTGACTTGACTACTGTAGATTTTAAAATTATTCAAATTGTTAAACTTCTGCCTCTTCTCCAAAAATATGTATGCCCCATGAGCTTTTTTTAAAAAAAATACAGAAATGTAGTAAGACGTCTGAGCTCGAAGTAATTGTGTACTTAGAACTCTTTATGAACCTGTTTTTTGGAGTCAGATGTGCAACTACTGTTATTGTTCTCATGTTTAAGAGTGCTGTCAGTGATTAGACAGACAAGATATCGTGGGTATTGAAATAAGAAAAAAATGGAATTTCTTCAATTGCTATGAGAGTCTTAGGACACTGAGCAGAATCAGGACAGACTTGGGACACCCAACAGATAACACTAAGAATTAGGAGGAACTATGAAACAGAAAGAAAGTCTTTTCATCGTTAGTTATACTTATTGCACATTTTGATAAGTATCCTTTCTCATAACCACTCCTCAAACCCTCATCCAAATTTATCCTGGTCCCATGAAAAGTTAGGTAGGTCTCTGGATTCTCTGGATTATTTGTCTGCTTTGAAAGATTTTAATTCAGCATAATTTTCCTCTGAATATTAAATGCTTTTGAGCAAATATAATCCCTTTTTGAAAGCCTGGAACTGAAAGGTTAATCAAACAGGTTTCAAATAAGCATTTGGAGAGTGTAAGAAACATTCATGAATGAATTATGTATACGCACTCCAAAATGTATCTGGGAGGCAAAAATCCTGGACATATGTGACAAAACCAAGGTCTGATTTTCTCCATAGATTATTGTCCTTATTTTTTCAATTTCAAGTATTATATATAATTTTCCAGAAAATAAGAAAACAGTTAATTCAGATGAGTCAATAAAATATTTTCTTCACAAGATAGAATTAATTTTTAAAAATCTTTGAATTATCATTTAGAGCAGTTAATTAATTATGAAGATGAAGTAAATCATAAAATGGTGTCATCAATTATTGCTTTATATGCTTCTGTACACCATTTATTTGCTACTAGTATCATAAAAAATCAATTTCTACCTCTATAAAAATTGTTTATTGATCACCATAATCTAATTTATTTAATTATGAACTTAGTTGAAGTATATTAATATACTCAGCCCACTTTAAAAAACAGATTTCATTAATGTGGTAAAAAAATCTGTTAGACCTGCTTAGCCTCTACTCAGTATCACATTCTAGCTTTTGTTTTTCTTGAAACACATTCTGACCTGCATTTATTCATCCTGTTGCCTAAGCAACAAGCACCACACTCCTATTAACTATGATGTAGTACAGGTCTTATTAGCTTTTTAGAACAAGACAGTGGAGACATCAAAAGGATATAATTAATGTTGGTTGAAACACCATAGCACATCCATGCATAGATAGACTTTATTTAGGAAACATTCTCAAGAGTTAATTTTTCATTTAATCAATAATCCATTAATGAATGTTAGTTTTAAAGGGTTCATATAAGTAACTTCCAAAGTATCTATTGAAAGCTTTTAAGAATTTTTTTGCTAACTCTGCTCCTCATACTCTCCTACATAAACACAATATATGGATGATTTATCCACATGGCTATGATTAACTTTAACAAAGATTTCTTCCATCAATTCCTAGACATGCTTAGAAAAGAAGGACCCCCATTTATTTTTAAATATCTATCAAGTATTGCTTCTCCTTTGGGCTCTTAGTACTTATCCATGATTTTGTTCATGTGTGAATTTTTTTCGATATCTGAAAGTCAGAATTCCAAACTTTTTCTTTATGTATCTAGTTCTGGTTTGCAGAATAGTTATGCACACACTTTTGACCCTTCTGTATCCCTAAGAACATAAAATAAATGGAAATTGGTACAAAGAATAGCTACAAAAGTATATCAGTTCACTAAAGACTTTGGGAAAGTCAGATCTATGTTGCAATCATAAGCCCCTTAAACACAGAATCATTTGTCTGAAGGCTTATCCCGGCCCCACTTTACCTGTTCATCATGTCTGAAATCATATATCATCAGTTCCCTCCTAGTTAGGCATGTCTACCTGCTACCCACTAGCCTATGGGAATGTTACCCTGGTACTCTGACATCCCACCTATTTTCCCTGAGTTTGCAACATATAGAATGTGTCTAAGGATCAGCAATACTTTTTTTTTCGTCAAGGAGTTTAGATATGAAGAGATTACTATACAAAATGCATATGGTTATTTACTTCCTTATTATATGTTTCTATCATCCTCTCTTTTTTCCAAGTCTAACAACAGCTTCCTAAATTTTATTTCAAACTATCTATTCTTGTCCTGATGACTGGTCATTTGTACTCTCCCCAACTCCCTCTTGGACAGCTATTTCCTTTTCCTCCTCTCTATCTTTTATCCTCAAAGGTCTAACTCAATTCCTGCCTTGTTTACATAGCTTTCCTTAACAACTCCAGTCTTCAGCAGCCTCTCTTTCTCTGAACTCTGTAGTGGTTGTATTTGGTGTGAAAAATTATATTTGGCATGCCATTATTCACTCTCTAGGATTAGAAGTTTTCACTTGTATATATCTTGTCTCCTGAACTAGACTGGAAGCTCTTCAAGTCCAAGTTTTGTAAATTCAATGTCCTTACCTTTCTCACAACTCCTAGCATAATACTTTATACATAGCTATCACCCCATAACAACTGGATTGACAGCAGATTCTTGTAGAAGGACCTCTAGCCTCATTTTAAAACTGGATGCCTTGTTTTGCCAGTGGAAACATGGGGAATTAGTACTCTTGATTCATTCACGCAAGCAACACTCATTAAACATTTTCTACGTGCATGGGACAGTTCATTACTAAGAATGTAACAGTGAACAATATATGATCCTTGACCTCAAGCAGTTTACAGTATTGCCCTCAGACCTATCATATTATTTGCATGCACGTTGCACACACATTCCTTCATGTGTTTACACACATTCATGCACACACACACAATATCATGATGATCTTGTCCCCCATCCTTCCCTATAATCACCATGCTTCAGCATGTTACTGAGTAGAAATTGTTTTTCCAGCAACAAATTGCAGTAGGCAATGGAAGAGGTCAAATCTATCATAGCAAAGAGTAAAGGAAGATAAAGACAATGATAACATCAAAACACTGGCAGTGTTATGGTAGATTTATCGTCCAAATATTGAAGTAAGAAGTTTATATTACTTGCAGGAGGACTGACTTATAGCCTCACTAGGATAACTAGCTGACAGTTATATTTGTAAACTCTAATCAAAAAGCATAAAAAATAAAATTATACCAACTTACTTTTTTTTTTTTTTTTTTAGTATCTCCTGTCTTTCTAGCAATTGCCATCTAGGCTGACTTAGGATGCTTTGACCATTATTAAAACGTTCAAAATGCAGCTCTTACAGAGTAAGAAAGAAAAATAATACCAGGAGCCTTATGTGAATTGGCATTTTTGTACACTTGGGTGGGTAGTACTCAAAAAGGACTTGCTGAAGGTCAAAGTGAGTAGTGCCTATTAGACACTGAAGTGGAGCCACAGAACTCTTGGAAGTCACCCACTTGAACAAAAGATTTGAGCAAGACTGATATTATAAGTATTTCACTGAAATTCTTTTTTCCATTTTTGTGGTGCATTTTACATGCTAATGGACTTACTTCTCCTTTCCTCTTTTATGTAACTTTTCTGTAATAAGAGCACCATTTGCAATTGACCTGATAAAATGACCTTTTAAGTATCTTAGCAGCATATCATGATCCAAGTAAGAAGTTAAACTTGTGAAGCAGAAAAATAAATTGTCCCTAAAGGGCAAGACTAATAGCCCCCATGATGATTTCTTGTTTCAAATATTGTTTAAGAAAATTTTATAAAGTTACTGAGATTTAAAGATCCAAGAGAAAAATACCTGCCACACTCCCTACGCCTTCCTGTTTCTGAAACAGGCGAGGCCCCGAGTT